GTGGAAGTTCACAAGATTGTATATTTGGTTAGAAAAAAACAGCAGCGTTGAGCGTTTGTTTTGGCCACGCAGACGTCATTTTATCAAAAACACTGCTTTTACTATTGCAATCACACCTTTATTTGGTTTGTAGCTCCACAGCCTCAAGATCAGTTCCACAAAAAACCCAATAACTTTGGCACAGAAACATCATCATGTAAACAATGCAGCTGCTTCATATCAAATGTTTGCGCGAGAGAGAAGCTGAGTTTTGAGGCTCGAAATCGTGCTAACTCTGTGGTAAGGTTGGAACTTGGTTGAAAAACGGCACGAAAACGCAAAGATTTTCTGAACGTCAGACAAAATACCCATCGAAAGAACTTATTTTATCTCACAGCTTTGGTAGAAGCTAATTAGAGCGCGTAACCGCAGAAGAATGGATGTTTTTGGAGCGCAATCACTTCGGAAGCATTTATAGCCTTCTGAAGAAATTAACGGTTCTCTTTTTGAACTGCACTGGGTTCAGTGTGTAGCGAACACGTCAGACTTTGTTACTGTAGCTTTGCAAAAAATTTGGACTCAAATGACTGCAATCTTGAATAAAAAATGGACCTTTGTTTGAGGTGTTCGTATAATTATGAACCGCTAAAAATCCGCAGTAGGCGCTTAAACACTCCTAAGATTGACATCCATTTCCATTCTTATAGATCATATACCGTTTTCGGCTGTGTTCTATCGCGTGGTACCAACGGCTTTTTGAGTTTCTCCCAAAAAGTTCAAAAACTTACAAAATTTTGGGTGTTCGTATAATTATGAACCGCACTTTACAAGAAGACTTTTGACAAAATCATCGTTGGTCTCTCAGCCAGATCGGAGCTGAATTGATGCCTACAAAACTTTTTCTGGTCTTCAAATCATAGAGTGTTGGAAAGAAACTTTAAAGTCTGTCACGACCGAGGATCAGCAATGGGAAAACTCTCAGTTTCAACGGCCCGTTTCAAGCGAAATGGACCTGGGAGTGAGCTTCGACGATGAAATGTAATCACCCTTGGTGATCTCAGTTTGACTGAACCTATCATCGTCAGAAGCTAATAACTTACGACTTCACCTGATGTACCAAAGTTTTAACAAGAGTCCACTACCTTCTGCAAGGCTCTACTTTCTAGAGAATCTCGGAGTCGTCAAACGCTAAAAACATAGTCAGAACCATAGTCAACTGGGATCGGTGTTTTTCAAGTTTAAGCTCAGCGAGACACCATCTGAGGCAACAATAGTGAAGAATATGCACTAAGGTGGACGTGCATGAGCTTCCATAGCGATGTACATCAGAGGCTGTGAAAATCACAGTGGGAAGTTGAAAAGGCCTCGAGGAAAGAATTCATCGTAGAGTGCAAATTTTGAAAAATTGGCGTCGAAGCTTGGATCTCAACACCAAGACGGCTGTCGCACGGTGGGAACCGTAACTATCCCTTATGTTTAGAAGAAGTATCATCTACGTCTTCACCACAGGTCTCTCTGACAGACATGATTTCCTATAGGACATGCCATCAGATTGGTGATATTACATACATCGTCTGGTTCATAGCAGTCTAACCAAAATTTTTGCAGAGGCTATCGCCCACTCATCCAATTCCGGAAATTCTTTCCCGAATACCTGATCAAGGCAGGTTGATTGATTAGTGGAAACTAGCAAGGGCGTAATGCACCCCAAAAAGAAAGATTCTTTCTACATTGGCAGTATCGCCCTATCACCTGGTCTGTAATCACAAATTCTTCACGCGCCACAGCATCGGAAGATCTACATCCGAAGCACCAAGTCCAAGCAAGATTTGTCTTGAGATACTTCGGTACAATAGACTGTGTACACCGTCTCAATCCTCACTTCAGTAGCGCGAGAGTATAGGCTTTTACTCTGTTTTACCTCAATCAACATCCAGGGCGTCTGAATCGGTTGAGATGAGATCGTCACTGATGTCTTGAGCAATCAAGGAATTCCTACTCAGTACACCAAGATCATTGTTAGTGTATAACGGCTTCACAACTAGCACCATGCCATTCTACAAGGATCACCAGCGAGGTGAAGAGAGGTATATATACGACAAATTGACAATATTTAGCCAAAGATGTTCAGCGCCGTTTTTAAAAACGCATGCGTACTCCAGAAGTGGGTAATTCATCTTCGATTTGCTGAAGACAGCGTTTTGGTAACACCAGCAGCAGAAACAAAGTTAATGTTCAAGAATGATGCCTTCTGCATCTGTATAAAATCTGTTCGAGTCACTTGAAAATTTCAACCTTGTCCAGACTCAGCGAAAATATTCAAATGTTCAAACACTTCTCATCACTTGGCTAAACAAGCAAACAAATTTCATATGAAACATTTAGGATTGTGAGCTCTTTAACTTCAAAAGCTACCATTCATAGCAAATCATTTGACTTACTCCCGTTCAAGTGCTTCTCTAGGGCTAATCCTACAATCGATACTTAATCTAAAAAAATTTTGACACTTACATCTACAATAACAACATACGTAATGAAATTTGTGCCACTGTATTTTCTGCAATTGCTTGGGTTGCCCTGAAGACAAAGCTTTGACTAAAATGTTGGATCATGAATTATGGAAGATATATGACAAGAACACGGCAAATCTGATGCGAAATCTTTTTACCACCGTAAATGCTTCTTTCAATTACTGTAATATTAAAACCGGTGGTTGAATGAATGTTTCTGCTTTTTTGTGCTTAGAAAAGCTTCAGTACAGTGTGCGAACTGTCACTTGGAAACCCTAGCCTAAAGAAACCAAGTTTTCCTGTGTTAATAAGTTTGAATACTAGTTGAGTAAGTTCATAAGAATCATATTTCTAATTTTGCCTGATGTGCAAAGTAGACTTGAGATGGGCCGCCTTCCATGACCATTCATCAAATGAATGGCTCAGGAAAGAGGTTCTGAATTTGCCTTCAGGAAATTAACTGCTTGGAAAACTTTCTTCTCTCTTTTTCCTCGATCAGATGCTTCCGTCTTCTTATGTGGATCTTCTCTTACTTTGCAGCTTTTGTCTTTGGTCATGTCGGTCCCGAGCATTTTGCGATTTCACGTTTTAACTTTATGACGGTCACCTTTCTGGATGTAACTTTGCTTAATTTCCGATTAATGCTGGGAGTTGCGACTATTTTCTCAACATATTTCGAGCTTAAAAAATTTATAGACTCTCGAAAAAGTGCGCTCTAAGGAAGAGAATAGTGTAGACATGTCTCATTTGGAAATCCGTGCTGACCGTCTGCAAGAAAATCATCACTTTTATGCCTTCCTTGGATGACATAAAACGTGCATGAACGCTACATACAAAGAAAATCCACTCTAAATTTTCCGTTTCTTCGCAAAACAATCCGTATGTTGCATCAAAAATTAACGCCTTTCACTAGCTTGCTACTCAGAAGCCAATTTCCCTGTTTTTTGTAATCACCAACTCACGAATTCTATATTGGATCTATGGTGCTAGTAAATTATTCATTTGCTATAGCTTTATTATATTGAGTGGTTAGAGAGGAAAGCAAGCAGCTATCGGTTGTTTCTATGCACACTAACCGCTCCGTTCTTTTTCTTTTACTACATCAAAGATGATATGGACTGTAATGCGTAGACCTGATCCTTCAAGCTTGATGAGGATATTGCCTGTTCAGATCAAAGTTCGTGGAGTAACTGTATTCTCGAATGGCTTTACTAGCCACTGACGGAATGAGTCACGATTCTACATAGAACATAGACTTGCGTATCTAATGAGACTCTAATTGTCAATGGTTGAAAACTTTCTGATAATCCAAAGTTTCGTTTGTTTTTCCTTTTTCAAGATGAAGTTGGAAAGCGAAATTAGAACCCTCTCCAGCGTTATACGCTTGTTTTCTAATAAGTTCGACTATTTACTTTCAATTTTGACTATTAGAACTGTGAATCTTTCAAGATGACGTAGAACACAAGCGTTGATTTGTTGATCATGAGTACAAAGCATCTACAAGTTCCTTAGTCAAAGGATGAATGAGTCTAGAGCCAAGGATGCTATATTAGGTTGATTTACATGATGCACTTTTTTGCCCCTTTTCAAGCGCCGCTCATGTTCAATGGATAGCTATTTTTCTCGGTAACTTTTCGTAATAACTGCATAACCGTTTCTTCTAACTTCTTCCAAGTGCTTTCATTTCGTCTTCGATGATTCTGTTCCGAACCAAAAAAAAAATAAACGAAACTTGAAATTATCACCTATCTTCTAGATGCAACTCTATGAAAATTACACAATTTGATATCATGTACTACAATATGCTTCCTAAGGCAACTTTTATACGCTGTTAAAGGTCATTTTTAATCCCCCCCCCAAAAAAAACCTTAAGACAGTATCATTTGATATTTTCTCGCGAAAGAAAAAGCCGTTCATTCTGAGCTTGAAACCACAGCTCAACCGACCATTTACACAATCGGCGCTATCCCATTCGAAGTCAATTCATGCGCTTCCAGACTGAGAGTTCTAAAAAATTTTTGGCAACTTTCAGGCTAGAAAATCTTTCTCGTTCACTGCAAAAGCTTGTAGTTTGCAACAGTTGTTACTGCGTTTAAAAATTTCATTCCGCAATAAAATACTGTGATTTAAAGTACTTTTTTGGATGACGTGCAATATTTATTAACCACATTACATAATGTCGATATAATGAAATGTTGGCTTTTTTCTTCGTGAAATATCGCACTCATGCTACTGGAAACGCTTGTTTCACTGAGATTCTCACCGAAAATGCTAATCTACAATCTGACATGGATGGATCTTTGCTTCACAATCAAGCCCATTCAGCGAATCAGTTTTTTTTTCGGACGAGCGTCTGAATCGTTGTGCGCCAAACCGTTGCTCGCTTCCGCTGAAATGTGTATGGCCTTCTTACACGAACCCACGTCATTTTCAGCTCAAAACGCTCTGGTGTGCCCACCAATTATTTCATTGTAAGCTGTGAATGTTTCAATTCAAAACGAGTCCGCTTCTGTTTGAAACATTCACTGCGCTCGTCGGTATTTACTCGTAAAGTTTCATATGTCAACCCAAACGTTCGGTCCTCTTCTGAATAAATATGTTTTCTTTCTCGACATCCTCAGTTCGCATTTGAAAAGGCCAATCATTTAGGCTAGTCAGACAGCCCTTCTGGCAGCGCATGTTGTCGGTTCGTTAGCAAGCAGAGTGTTTGGCGAAAGCGGCTCGCAATGAACAATCTGGTACGTTTCTTTAATCTTTTGTAAATGCTCATTAAAAGTTTTTCACTTTCCCATATGCCTTTGATCGATAATATACTTCTAAACGGTTCCATATCACTGCTCAAAAACAGTGCACGGTTTGATTCCGCTGAACCGGAAAGCCAGAAATCTTGGCTTTTGATCATATCCTGTTTGTCTAAAAAAAGCTTCCTGCTACAGAAAAATGGCTCACAATTGATATACATCTGAGCTTTAGGGGTGATATAACCTCCAAGCATCGCTAGAAATTTCTTACATGTGATTGAATCAGGGAAAGTGTACCTTAGTGCCCACCCTTAAAATTTGAAGGGATACCGATATATTCCAGATAGGAGCAGAAACAATTCAGGGAATTTCTTGCGCAAGTGTCTCTCCTTCTTTTCCACAAAAATACTGTTAATTTTAGCAAATGGTTATCAATGTGAAATATATTTGGAATTGCAGCAAGAACTAAAAATCATCATGTTCCCTTCCAAAGTAGTTTTTTCTGCACTTCAAGTTCTTTGTTTTTCCGATTGGAGTTTTTTTCTTTTTCAAAGCTGGATAGACTTGTTTAAGGTATGCTTACTCATGGATAAATTCCCTAATTGTTGTTACATTTACCCTTGGAAAACAGAGTGATTTTTTGATATTTGCTCTTTCAAACGTAAAGCCTTAGTAGGAGTTGAACTTAAGTTTAATCAAATTCTATGTTCGTAATATTCTGCCGTTATGATTTGCTTCCTGGTTTCCAACCGATTACTAAACTTCCTCGATATTCAATGTCATTCATCCATAGTCATATATCAAGGAATTCGTTTCGTTTTTTCCACATCCAAATAAATTCCGCCTAGTTCTTTTGAAATTCAAAATTGAATATAATGCTGTGGTTCGTAACACATTCATGCCACTTCTATTTATCAGAATCATACATACCCAGGTTTGTGTTCAAAAACTGTCTTATGAATTTATGAGCTCCCTTTCAACCATATTTTTCGATCATAAATTTCGTTGGTGCTCAGCTGCTGACAAGAAGAAAGTTATTAGGAGACTCGGTCACTTGAATGTCTTCCGGGAAATGCTATCATCGCTGTTTATTAGATTCGGTGGTAATCATTACCAGACAAGGAGGTGCCAAGGGGGTTCTTAAAGTTCAAGACTCATTAAAAGCTGTTGTATAATCATGGTCAAAATTCTCTGGCAAAAGCGCCGTGAACTTCTACTTGTGGTAGTTACATATTGTTAACTACTGTATCTGAAACTTCGTTATCTAGTAATTTCTCCCAGTTGCATCTCTTGCTTAAGAAATGGATTGTGTATTCGAGAAGCATCGGTATGGCTGCTCCTCGTTAAAGTTGAAGTGATATATAACTGTACCATTTCCTTTTACCAACTACCAACCTTGTTTCCGAATTAAAGTTGGTACAGACCTCGACCTGCAACGCGAAATTGTGGGAGCATAAGGACTCACAACTTGCTAATAGCCTTGTGTTCCTGATACGAAATTATCTTTTGGCTTTGATTTGAATGAGGACGCAAAGACAATCATACCATAAGGGTAAAGCTTTCTGAAATGAGATCTTTTTCCTTTGTTCAGAAATTAGAAACAACACGTATTTTCGAATATCGCTTACGCTTTGAATACACCAAACTGATACCATTGCGCTGCATCAATTTATTTGGTAGTAAGGAAGCAGCAGCAGGTGAACCAGCAATGGTTAAAGCGGAGCAGTAGGTCGATTCAAATCTTCTTTTTGGCGGTCTCTGAACTGTATGTTTTCGCTATAGGACCGCGAATTTGAAACTCAATGAAAGCCAAGTGAAGCAAATTTCTTTCCCGTCCTCGAAATCAATCACGGTTTTGGTGGTGTCGTGGAAGGGACTAAAGAGGAATTACGGAAACGAAAGGCATCTCTCCTTTAAAGCGTCCAGGCAAATCTGGACCTATGGAGATTTTACGTAGAAAGTAATTTAGAGGCCATAACTAAGGCACTGCCCAAGCGGCAGCGTAGGCGACTCATTAACGGCTGAGAGATACGCCTCCAAACTGGACCCCAGGATCGTATTTCGCATGGATTCATGGCGCAACCCATCAGTTTCGCGCGAGGACCCACGCGAAACTGGTGGGTTGCCATGAATCCATGCGAAATACGATCCTGGGGGTGGGGGGACATCTCAGCCGTTAGAGCACTAGCTGAGCTGCCGGTTAGGCATTGGCTTAGCTAGGGCCCCAAGATTGCTATTACGTGAGATCACTATATGTCTAGTTTTGCCTGTACGCTACCTTTAAAGACAAATGCACATCAAAGCCAACGAAGTTTCAATGCGTCCTTTGGGTTTTAGCACCCATCTGAATGTTTTCCGTCGATGCTGTCTGTGTTGTTTCTCTCCCTTCTGCGAAGAATACCCCAAGCAGGGAAGAATGCGTAAACTAAGAAAAAGCACGACAAAGATAAACTCACTTTTTGCGCCTTTTTGCTCCGACGTAGTCAAAAATGTGGCGACGCCATCTAGATTATAGGCAAAAGCCAATGTATCGAATGTAGGAGAAAAGGTCAAAAAATTCAAATGGAGACGATACATTAACAGAGAGAACACAATATATAGAAGTTATAATTAGGTTTTAACAGCTTCCTTATTCAAAACAAATTTTGTCTCGCTGACGTTGTAGTGTATAAGTATGCTTGAAGAGCTCAAAATGATATTTGCCGGAAATAATTCATGACAACATAAAAAAGGGTACCTGAGTAAAATGCCTCGTGGAAGCCTGAGGGACTTTAGCGAGGCAACATGCAGAAATTGGAGGCGCAGATGAGCAAAGGAGAAATAGCAGAGACTGCAGGGTATTTGACTATGGTCAAGATTTCCGCGTTTTTTTTTTTGTAAAATCCTGCAAAATTATATATCATTCTGGTCTGAGAAAATATCTAGGAGCGCCTCAGCGTCGCGAAGGTTGGAAATAACTCTTAATGAAATAAAGCCATCTGCTATTTTTGCAACCACTTTATGTCGGCTCTACCTACTTATCAAAGAAGACCGATGTTATGCTCTTAATCAGAAGAAACAACATGAAGTACGAACTGTTGGAATTTTTTGATACTGTCTTCGTACTATATGGCGTGATCCTACCATACAATAAATGACTGGAATAAATGTTTTTCTTACGATTAACAACTGGCCCTCAGGCAAATTCTTGGACACATACATATTTTAAAAATCCTATGAAAAGATCACTTCAATAAATACCGAGAGAAAAAGGGTGGGCAAGCGAAACGTGTGGCTCAACAACCTAGAAAGAGGAGAAGAAGACTCGTATTTGTATCTACGGATTCTGGCATTCAGCGAGCCTCAGTCTTCTGTCAAGTCTTCTGCTTAGTTTCAAATACCACTATCCCGGCTCCGCGATGCAGAGCAGCTTCTCGCAACAAGGGCCGCGTTGCCTTTTGCGCCTTTTGTAGTCGCTGCGGGACCACTCCGGTGGAGCTCGGGATGCACCGTACCAATTGGACTGGATCTCCAGCGCCGACTCTGACGGAGGAACCCAGAATTTCCTTGTGCGGATTGAGCCTGTAGTGCATCGGCAGCAGTGGACTACGTGGCTCTTCCCGCGTTAGTGTTGTTAGTATAGGCAATATCATTGGGCGCGAACGCGGCTTTATTAGCCGCAGGGCGCATGAGGCGCAGGATTTACAACGGGAGGATACGCGCGCGCAGCCCTTGCGCCCGCTCAACTAATACTGCTTCGGGGGTTGTCTGAGGGTTTTTGGTGGGTGACACGTCGGTAGCGGAGGCGTAACAGTCTAGGGGCAGGGTTGGCTGTGCAAGGCAGTCGAGCACTCGAAGAGAGGTGCTGGGCCCACCGAACCGCAACACCACTACTAGAGCAGGCTCCAACTTACATAGATTAACAGTTTGCTGCGAATCACCTGTCTCTCTCCATGCTGTAGAGAGGCGGTAGGAACTTTTAACACGGTTTTCAGGCCACATTTCACCTCAGAGGATACTCAGCAAGCTAAACATCCTTTTATTAGGCTTAACTGAATCGCTGATTTTGATTATGAGAAATCAGCAGTTTGTCGTGAGGCTTGTTTTTTCATAACTATGCCAGGTAGACCGCAACAAGGTTTTTAAGCGCTTTGAAAATGTGATTAAACCATGTGGAGCGCTTGATTTTCGTAAGAAAAAAATTGTCTGATGAAATCGGCATGTCTGAGAACACCGCTACACAACTCAGATTTTTTTGGAACTTTTTGTTGGTGGAACGCCATTGTTTTAGGACCTAAATCACAATGGTGTATGCTGGAACTTCCTACCGGAATTTTACAGTAATCAAGATCGATCGGTGATTCGCATAATGCTGCAAATTTAATTTGAAGCCAGCTCCACAGAATGGTACCTGAAGCTAAGCGGCTTTGAGACTTTATGGAGAAAGAGGTATTAACGACTGAGGCGCCACAGGTGCCGACAAATGTCGGTATATAAGTTGGTTTATTATTGGAACTGATTCTTAGGTCATAAACTGACGGTTCCATCCAGACTGCGTTACCGTTTCTACCGTATTCGAGAACGCTGATTGGTTTGCTCGATATCGATAGTACAGCCTGCGCCGTGCAAATATTTTTTGGCTACGAATGATTCATTTGTTTTAAAAAATTTGGCCAGGGCTAGTTAAGACCTTCCAAAAGTGCTCGCATAAGATTCGAAACTTGAGAATTTTTACTATGAAATCTCTAAGACTGAGCAGGTGAAGAAAATTTCCGTTTTCATCAAAAATTCCTAACTTGAGTATTTTTTGCTCTTATGTTTAAACTTGTTGGAATCAATGTACTCTATCAAAGAACAGCAAATAGTGAAAGCTGGTGGTGATATTTACATTAAAAGTTGCTGGAAACTGAAGCGTCAGTTTTTTTTTTGTGCAAGCGAAGCCTTTCTGGCACGAGAAGTGACGTGTGAGCTGCAAAGTCTTTGCATGATAAGTATCGTGGAATGAAAAAAGCAATAGT